TTTTATTAAGCACATAAATATTTAAATGCATTTGTAGTATACTTAGCATGAAGTAAATGTATTTCAAATACATTTTAGTATGTTTATTTTTCACTTGGGGTGGTACTTTTCACATTTTTTCCCAATGCACTCAGACCCTAAAACTGATATTGTGTTGCAAATATAAAAGAAAGAAAAATGTTTTACATAATCTAACCTACAAAGAGAACCTGTTCTACATAATCGTGCACATTCCAGATTCAGGAGTGATAAACCAAGAACTAGTTGCTCAATTATATAAATTAAGCTGCATATCAAGTCTTGTTACAAGAAATAATGGCAAAAAAAAGTTTTGGTTTCAGAAGAAGAAAGTTTTCAGTGCATGACATTATGGCACAATACTAATGTGACACTAATATGTTTTGTTATTTCAGTGCACAACATGAACACAAGGGAAATCATTAACCTTCCCATGTTCTTTCTCCAGTCTAACTGGGAGACTGAAACCGATCAAAGTGTGCACAAAGGTCCAGCATCTGCACAGATCAATGCACAGATTAGTAGCGGAATTGGAGAGCAGAGATGGTGACATTTGTTTTGCCAGTGCTGGCTTTCCAATAAATGAGAATTCCCAGATAACCGTCTACCTGTTGAGGAGAATTGATCACCTGAGTTTGCTGAGGCAATCCTTATTGATTTCGTTCAATCAGCACGCATGCAGTGGTTTTACAGACTAAGATGATAGATTCAGTGAAGTCCACACAGCCAATTACCACTTTGATTTGGTGTGTGTGTGTGTGTGTGTGTTTGTGTGTACTATATTATTGTCAGAGAGAGCTGCAGGAAGCTTAAGGCACATATAGATGCAGACCTGAGAGAAATATTTTTTTGTGAAATTCAGTGTCACATCACTTGCTCACCAGTGGATCATGTGCAGTGAATGGGTGCCATCAGAATGAGAGTCCAAACAGCTGATAAAAACACCACAATAATCCACACGTAATCCACACCACTCCAGTCCATCAATTAACATTTTGTTTTGCTTGCAAATGCTGCTTGATCTTTGCATATTTCTCTCCTGATTCAGACAAGCGATATTATGGCTAAAATACTTTTATTTTAGCCAGAAGCAACAGTTTGAAGTTAAAAACATGACAGCACACATTCACTGCAGAGGATCCACTGGTGAGCAGGTCATGCAATCCTAAATTTCTCCAAATCTTAAAAAACCCATCTACATCCTGGCCTGAGGGTGATTAAATTTTTAGCTCATTTAAATTTTGGGTGTACCGTTTCTTTAAACAACACTTAGCAATGTATCAATGTCACTGAGCTCAAAATATCAAACCAAGGAGCATCCACATCTTATTGCAACATAATATCAATTGGCAATTGAAAGTGATCTGCATTCCAAAAGGGTTAAAAAAACGTCATTCTTTTGTGTGTAAAAAGTGAAGGCTAATAAGATCATCAGGACAGAAATCATAAGGAGTGACTGAAACTTGTTGGAGGAGAACATGGAGCTCTTGGTTGCACAACTGTATGCAAGATCCACCTACCTTATTGTGATGCTATGAAACAAGAATGCACACACCCCTACTGAAGTCAAAGTTTTTGTTTTGTTGTGAAGGTTTGACTCAAGACAAGTTATGCCAGACATTTTCATTGTGAGTGTGTGAAAAACTGCTTTCAGATATTTCAATTAAAATCAGTGGTATGCAGTTGTGCATTTTATGCAAATTGTTTCTTCAACAGTTCAACAGTTTTGGATCTTAGATGTTTTCTTCTTTTTACAGAAGCAGTTTCACATAAGAAAGCCCTTTGGAACCTTTACTACTAAAAAATAAACAGTTACAGCCACAAAAGGGCTTTGCAGCCTAATGCAAGAAAAATTATTATTAAACTGTGTGGGGGGGAAAATAGTAGAATTGTATGTTTATATCTGATTGTGCATCTTGTTTCTGTCCACTATTACATTAATGATAGACATTCACTACTGTTCAAAAGGTTTTTGAAATAATATTTATATTCAGCAAGGGTGCAATTGATCAGAAGTGGCAATAAAGACTTTTATAAATACTGTTCTTTTGAACTTTCTATTCATCGAAGAATGCTGAAAAAACACAGTTTACACTTTACACCTTTGGTGCTTGGATCCCTAATAAGAAATATTTCTTGAGCATCAAATCAGCATATTATAGAATGATTTCTGAAGGATCGTGTGACACTGAATTATTCAAAAGAATTAATTAAATGTTTAAATAAATTCAAATAGAAAACAGTTATTTAAATTGCAATCATATTTCACAAGATTGCTGTTTTTGATCAAATAAATGCAGCCTTGGTGAACATTAGAAAAATCTGACTGACCTCAGACTTTTGAAAAATAGTG